CTCCCATTTCTCCCCTTTATCTGCTTTCTTTCCTTTCTCCCATTTTACCCCATTATCTCATTTCTTTTCTGTCTTCCCTTTCTCCCCTTTTTCCCTCTTTTTACCCTTAAAATATAAAATTCCAGAATTCTTGAAACACACCATAATTTTTTTGCGATCAGTAACTATAATTCCAATTTTCAAGTTCCCACCTCTTAAAAATTATACTTACTTGTATAAAAACTATTAACCCCCTTTCACCCCCTATGAAAATCCAAAAACCCTTAAACATGTCATTATTTATTTATGCTCAGTAGATGAATTTCAAATTTTCATGTTTCACTACTACTATGCAAAATATCATTTTTGTAAAAAATAAAAACAAATCTATCCCACGGGAACCGTTCATTTTTTCGGGATAAAAAGTAGCCTATGTGCTTTTCCAGACTATAATGTATCTTTGTACCAAATTTCATTTATAAAAAAGTCTTGCCTAAGAGAGCTTGGAGGCTAGCAGAACACTGCGTAAGTCTGTCATCAGGATCTGATTGAGGGAAAAACACGCTACTTGGAATACCATTAGAAGCTGGTTCGAATCGAAATCCAACAGACATCAGAAGTTCTTTCCAGCCACATACAGAACCAACCTTAAACATTAAAATTTTAAAAAATTATACAATTTAGATCCCAGCTACAAAATAACCAACTTTGTTCTCAATTGATTTTTGTGTAGTATACATTGCATTCTTCTGTCCTCTATGGATTCTTTGCAAGCTCTTTTCCACCAAATGCAATGTTACTCTCAAAGCATCTCTACACTTCTCGGGATGTTTAAGAAGTTCACAAAGAGCTTGACCCATTAAAGCCACTTTATTGGACAGCCTTACGTTGGAACCTATAAGGACGAATCCAGCCCAGTTTGCAGGATGGGCAAAATGTTTGGTATGTTGAACAGTCTGCATAGCCTCCACTAGAGCCCTAAAAAAAACATATACATCATCACAAAAGTAAGAAAATACTTAAATTTATACCTTGCTGCTCTGGTTCCTTGCAATAAAGCTGAGTAGAACGCTCTAAGAAGAATTTTGGTAGCTGTCTCAGGTACCGGCCATAGTGACACAAGAACAGTTTGAGCTCCTGCGGCAAGTAGAGATCGCACTAATGCTACTAGACCATCAGAAGTTGCCCAACCTTGAGGCTCCCTTGTGTGCGAAGAGCTTATCTACAAAAACAGATATGACGAACATATCTTTTTACAAATAAATCTTGTTACGTACCACTACAAGCCTAGCTGAAAGTTTAAGGGAAAGAATGTCGGCTGCGCTAAGAAGGAATTCTGAAAGTGATGGAAGTTCTGCAGAAACAGATAATTCATTGTGTTCTTCCTCTTCGCTGTTGTCAGTCATATATAATCTCTTTGACTGCGTTTGATCTAGAACCTGTAAAATCTCAACTTAAGATCCAAATTTCATTCTATTATTAATATATTTACCTCGGCAGGACTTAGTACTAAAGAAGATAGTTTCCAAGATACATGAGTTGCAAAGTGAATACATTCGGCCTCTTGAATTTGACTAATAACCTGCTCTTTAGTCGCTAATGATCCAACCAATGCTTGTGTCTGTAACAGCTCAGCTACCATAGTTGCTTCTTGTTCAGATTGAGGTATATCTTTCCAACCCCAGTGTTCTGTAACTGCGCTTGGCAATTTAGGATTACCAACTACAATGCTTCTAACCTGTAAAATTCGATAAAGTCGTTAAGAAATGCTTGTAAAGCATAAATATCTGGGTCCTTACTGTACTTACTGTTTCATCTTGTTTTCTCAATCGTCCCGATCGAAGTGTGCTTAAATTGGGTACCACAAATAATGAAAACCTTTCACATAGGTATTCGGAATTTTCATTAGCAGAACGAAGTAACGGGAATGGTACCAAATATAGATCTCCTTCCAGGACCAAAATCAGTTCTCTTCTATTAGAACCATCTTTTGAAGAGGAACCTAAAATAATCCAATAACAAATTATATTTAAACCTCAAATCTTGCAAGAAATCTTACCTTTAGATGTCAAATATTCTTCAAACGGTTGTAGAAGCATTGTATACAGAGTGTGCAGACAACTAGGTCCTTTCCAACTTTGACGTCTTCCCACTCTGGTAGATCCTTGAGTACTAGCACTAGATCGAGTGCTTCCTAGAAATGTTTTGTTTTAAATATAATAAATTTATGATATTAGTGTTAATACTACCTTGTAGAGACGCTACTGATCCTCCAACGCTGCCAAGTGAAAATAGAGAACTCAAAGAATAGTTACTAGAGTTCATGAGATGTTGACGATTCACCATTCTTAGAAAACCTGTTCTCTCTGATAAAGTATCATCTGCATGATCTTCAGCTATAGTTGGACATGATGATGCTTCCAATCCAAGACTGTCTCTTACTGAATTTACTAATTTTTCTAACAAACCTGTTCCAGAGGGCACTGGATCAATGTTGTCACACACAGAGTTGTCAGAAGATTCTGTTAAGGGAACGCAGTGGAACTTTACAACACCTGGAAAAAGTACAATATTATTTTTCATTTTAACTGTCAACATAATCAACTTTACCTTTTGTTGGTAAAATTAGCCAAGAATACAGGAATCCAGCCGCAATACTGTAATATAATACGGCCGCTCTCTGTCTATTAACTATATCTTTGATATGATCTAAATTATTCATTCCAAATTCTTCAATTCTACTATTCCTTGATTTCATTTTTAATTCGCCCCAACCTTGGCGTTCTAGCAATAGATCCACAAATGCCCGGTTTCTTCCTCTTTCTGCCATCAGAAGGGCTTCTTCATGTCTGTTTAAGCCTAAAATATTCATGTATAAATGTTGGCCTTAGTTTAGATCTGTAACTTTCACATATCAAATACTTACATACTAGTACACGCTGTAATACTTGATAGCTTGAAGATTGTAGTTCGAACAATGACAATTTATAATCTTGAGAGTTTTTAGTTTCTCTTCGAATATTTTCCAGTAAATGCGTAGTGATTTCTAATTGCTTTTGAGCACCTTCCAAATCGCCGTTTGCCCAAAGAGCTAAGCCTAACCTGTTTCTGATTTTAGCCTACGAAATATTATTTTTTAAAAATGTTCAGATAAATAGAAGAGTTTTTAACTTACTTCTTCATCTCTACGTCCTAGAGACTCTGCAATTGCTAATCCTTGGGTCAAGTAGGTCACTGCTTGAGTTCGATTTCCTAACAGTTGATGGACTCTTCCCAACGCGCTGTAAGCAACAGTTTTCGCCAATTGGTCATTGGTTGATGATGCAATGGATAAATGCTTTTGTTGGTACCCCACAGCTTCATCTAAATTGCCCAAAGCCTCATATACAGCCCCTAAAAAGACGATAAAAATTAGTCCAATAAAAACAATTTATGTTTTTGATACTACCTAGATTTCCGCAGGCTCTACTTTGTAAATTTGGAATTTCTAATTGTTCAGATATTCCTAATTCATTCATGTGGTATTGTAAAGCTGTTGAAAACTCGCCCATTTGATAACAAACCAATCCAAGTCCGCAAATAGCATCTGCTTCCATAACTTTGTCATCTAAATAAAATGAAATCATTTTTAAGAACCGCCTCACATGTAGTTCAACTAAATTGATGATCGTAATAACTTACTTTGCTCTAGTGCAATATTTCTTTGATGTTCAAGACAAGATACGGCCTGCTCCAGATTTCCTAATGTCGCGTGAAGTTGTCCAAGTTCTCCATACGCAGCTGCTTTAGCATCTAAGTTACCTAATTCATGAGAAACGACAAGTCTCTTTTCTAAACATACTAAAGCTTGTTGAAGATTGCTCAAAGACCTTTGTGATTGACCTGAAACATACTTTAAAAGTAGTGCCTTAGTTCATCTTGATATGAATACGAGTTATTCACCTAATCCTCTATAAGCTCTTTCTTGATCTCTTGGACTTTTTAATTTTAAAGATATGGCCAAATATTGTTCATGACACTTAACAGCTTCTTCAGGATCACCTAATGCATCATAACAGTCACCTAAGCTACCAAATGCTCTCCCTTTATCCAACTGGGCCGTAGGAGAACTCAGTCTTTCTAAAGTTGCAAGCTGTTGTTCAAAATAGCCAATAGCGTCTTCGTAGTGTCCCATATTCAGCCTAAAACAAAATAAACAGTAAAAGCGAATTACTTTTTTGGCATTCTGAGAAGAATAACCTCGCTATTCCCATGTTTCCGTACGCTTGAGCTTCTACAGCACAATCTTGAAGTTCTTGTGCTCTTTCTAATTGTTCTTGATAACATTTAACAGCATGAGTGTAATTTCCTAAAGACATATGTACAGCTCCTAAATGCCCATGTGCTCGGCATTCTCCTGGCAATTCTGACAATTCCTGACGAAGAGTTAATTCTTGAGTGTGATAACCTTAAAAATATATAACTTATATCTAAAAAAATCTGACTAATTTTATGTATTTGTGCATTTGATAAGTTACCTAGAGCCTTGTCAAATTTTTTTATCAGTCTATGAGCTATTCCCAAGGCTCCACAAGCTGCTGCTTCCATACTTCTATCCCTGTTACCTCGAGCCAGTGCTAATTGTCTATGATACATCTTTATAGCTTCTTCTGGTTCTTCTAGTTTTATGAGTACGTCGCCAATGTTACCAAGAGCTCTAAATTTTCCTAAAAATAAAAGTTACTATAGAAAAAAGAGTACATCTTAAGACGTAATAATGTTATATTTCTTACCCGATAAGTTATTAGTCATATGTGCTATGGCTAGGAAGTATTTCTGGCACTCCAGAGCATTATCTAGTTGCCCTAAAGCTAGATGAGCTAAACCTAGGTTGCAATAAGCTCTACCCATGTTCATTTTGTCTTGTAAATCTTTGGCTAGAGCTAAATCTTGATCATAATACCTAACTGCCTCCTTATAGTGGCCAATACAATAATGTGCATATCCTAAAAACGATAAGTTAAAAAATCTGCTAGTATTTCAGTTTAAACATGTTTACCGAGAAAATGACAAGCCTTAGCTTCCCCTTCAACATCAGAAAGTTCCTGAGATATCATCAAATACTGTTCATAGTAAGGGATTGCTTCAGTAAACTCAGATCGAGAGCTCAAACAATTTGCCAAATTTAGTAAAGCACATGCTTCACCTGCTGCGTCTTTAAGATCTCTTGCAATACCTAAATGAGCTCTATAATGCAATAACGCCATATCGTGTGCTCCTAAGGCTTGATAAGCTACTGCTAAATTTCCATGTGTGCTGGCCTCTGAACTTCTATCATGAACTTCTTTGCTAATTGTGAGCTCCTGTTTGTGATATTTAATAGCAGATTCGTAAAATCCGGCAGCAGAATAAGCATTTCCGATATTTCCAAATGCTCTACCCATCCCTGCCCTATCCTGAAGATTTCTTGCTATAGCTAGATGGGCTTGATGAAGTTTCAGGGCAGCATCATTCTCACCTGAATGAAAAAAAAAAGATGTTTAGTCTCTAATATGTTTCCAGAAAAAGGAAGAAAGCTTCTTACCTAGAAGTTGGTAAACAATTCCAAGATTTGAGCAGGCTCTACCTTCTCCAACTTTGTCTCGAGTACTAAGAGCTACATCTAGCTGTCTTTCGTGCCATTGTTTTGCTTGAACATAATCGCCAGCACACCTCGAGGCATGACCTAATCCTGCGTAAGCCCTGGCTTCTACAGATCTACAAACAATAAAATTGAAATAGGTTCATTATAAAAGAAGAAAAACGCACTTGTCTCCGATAGCTTGAGCTAGCCTTAATACTTTTTCATGGTACACGACAGCTTGAGCAAAGTTGCGCTTGTAATGGTGACTGGAACCTAAATTGCTATAAGCTCTGGCTTCTTCAACCTATATGAAGAATATCAAACATTGTTTATAGTTAGAATAAAATATACAATTTTAAAATTTGTGACTTGATATTTACCTGATTTCCTAATCTTCTCGCAATTCTCAAATGTTGGGTATGGCAATCCACAGCTGAATCAAAGTCACCCATAGCTAGATAAACAGCACCCACATTGCCTATCTCCCTAGCTTCTTGTAATTTATCACCCATTTGTTTGACCAGCTGCACACACTGCTTATGAGACGCCAGAGCATTTGGATAGTCACCTATCGCAGTATAAACATGACCTAAGGAAGTGAGTGCAGCCGCTGCAGCTTGAGTGTCCTATTATTTTAGAGAGAATAAATAGTACTAGATACTTGGGTAATAATTTATTATATCTTACTTTGCATTTCATGGCTAGAACTAGTTGGTATCTATGTGCTGTTAGAGCTTCTTTATAAGAGCCTTGGCTAAAGTAGGCTGAGCCTAAGTTACCGTGGGCTCTACATTCACCTGCGGTGTCTCCTAAACTTTTGGCTATTGCAAGATCTTGTTGCATAAATCTGAAATAAGTATAAAACGGGTTGAGAAGTGAATTAATGTTTTTTTTCAAACCTACCCTATGGCTTGGTCTAGCTGATTTAGAGCCCAATGCGCAGAGCTTAAAGCGCTAAAAACAGATCCACGTAATTTTAAAGAACATGAACCTATTCTTAGAGCTGATTCTAAGACGTTAACTGCCGCGTGGTAGAGGCCTGCTGCCAAAAGTTCCTAAACATTGAGGTATTTTTTATTTTTTTGTTTAAGATTATTTTAATTTAACTCACTTGTCCGATTACAGAAATTAATACAAACGGACTTTGGTCCAATTTCATAACTTCAAGTTGTTCCAAGGTCGGTTCCAAGTGGTGTCTAAGAGGCGATTTGATTGATGCTTCAACAAGGCCAGAAAGTAGCTGTTGGGATCTAGGATCTTGAGCCAGCCCTTGACTGAAAGCCGCCAAGGCATCTCCGTGTCTGCCCAAACATTGGAGAGCCACTCCTTGTCTAAAATCATTATAACGATTCATATGGCACCGCCACTGAATAGTGCAATACAATATAGTGCAAAAGCAGCAGAGCCAGTATAAAACAGCTCAGAAAAAAATAGCGCATTCACAAGAAGCAATCAGATAAAATAGCGCCTAAGAAAATGACGTTAGGACATAATAAAGTCATAATAAAATAACGAGAATTTAAAAAAACGCTGGATCAAAATATAACAGGAAAAATTAGCACTCCAGGCCGAACAGGTTAGGTAAATTGGTTAATTATTTTTGAATTTTTCCATTTTTATGTATAATTTTTTCTTGTGAACGTTAGGTCAGTTTTTTTTTAATTTAATAATAATAAATAATAAAAAGGTTATGTTTGTCGCTATTTAGTGCTAATGTATCCAACAGTATTTTTTTCAGTCGCTATTTTCTCTGCGTGTTTTTGTCACCACGGTGTTTTCCCTTCCGCCTTTTTGGTACAGAGGTATTTTGTCCTGCTCTATTTTGTACCAGCGCTATTTTTTTAATGCTATTTTGACTTTGGGCTATTTTGTCCTGCTTCATTTCACCCAACGCCATATTGTCCTACGGTATTTAGTGGCAGGTTTATAGAGCACCTAATGTTACTTTTCTATATTGAATTTGTCCAAATGAATTTTGGAATATTACCTGTAGTAGGCTTTGGGCCACGTAGGGCACATATCTCTGGCGGTGATGGCATCTTGCAGAGCCTGTGCAAATAGGCCTTGTTTTAATCTTGCAGCTGATCTATTGGAGTACAAGATGTGGTTGGTGGGATCTAATTGGAGGGCGTCAGTGTAGAGAGACACAGCTGTGGCGAAGTCGCCACTTTGACAAGCCGCGTTAGATTGTCGAACCTAGAAAATAACTGTATTTGTATAAAACAGCGATTTATATATGATAGAACTTTAAAGTGATACATCTAAAATACGTACAAAAATACTGTTAGAAAGATTAAAACCTAAACTTGAGAAAAATAATCATGTTTTATATACAGTAAAAGGTCTTTACAAAATCATACCACATATTCCTTAGACCAAAATAAGTCGATTTAAGTAAAATTACCTTAGTACAAAGTTGCTTCGTTTGGGCTCCAGAGGGCATATGCGACTTTGCTGAAATTTGGTATAATGGTATAGTGGCAAAAAAATGGTATTAAAATTTTATCCGATAATAATACATAGACGTAGAACTTGATTTTTTAAATAATTGCACCTTTAAAAATTCTACGCCAATGGAATAAAAAAAATTTGAGTATGAAATTTAGATTGCGCAACTCATTTACTTTAAAAAAGGTACTCTTGATCAGACTCGATTACTCTCATGGTTTTCGCTAAATTTCTCTTTTAATAATTTAGAGTGTATAGGTTTCACAAAAATATTTATTTACAACATAATCAAAATAGAGATTTTACAAAAATTGTTCAAAATGTTCACCATTTTCACGCATACAAAGATTTATATGTACGTCGAAGAAAATTAAGATATATCCTTTCCATAACTTCTTCATCACCTCTAAGATTGTTTATTGCCAGAGTTGTTCCTCATTTTCTACAGGTTCCCTGTAAACTGTGGATTTCAGATGTCCACATGAAAAGTAATCCATCGGTGTTACGTCTGGGGAACGTGGTGGCCAGTTTACAGGTGCGTCATTACCTCTGCCTATCCATTTGTGTGGATATTGTTCATTCAAGTGGTTTCTAACGTTTAAAGAAAAATGTGGTGGAGCTCCATCTTGCATAAACCACATATCTCTCCGAAGTTGGAGAGGTAAATCTTCTAACAATTCTGGGAACGTATTTTGTAGAAAATCCAAATAATTTTCTCCAGTTAATCTTCGTGGAAGTATGACAGGACTAACAATGAAATTACCAATTATTCCAGCCCACACATTAATTTTGAATTAGTGCTGAAAATGGTTTACCTTTATTGCATGAGGATTTTCAACGGCATAAACATGTTCATTATGGGTATTAGTTATACCTCTTCTTGTAAAACCCGCTTCATCGGTAAAGAGAACCTTCTTGACAAAGTTTGAATCTCTTTCTCTTTGCATATTAACAAATCGACAAAAACCCAAACGAATTTGAGGATCATGGACTAATAATTCTTGTACTGGCTTCTTATGGATGGATATAGCAATTGTTCTCCAAGCACTTTATGAACGACATCTTTACTTATTCCTAGTTCCCTTTCAATTCGTCTGGTGCTTAATTCTGGATCTTCTTCAACACGTTCTAAAATGTCTTCTTCAACTTCAGGAATCCTTACAAAACGTTCTCTTCGATTATCAACAGTGTTGGGAGCAAAGGAACCAGTCTCCCGAAGACGTTTCTCAACAGCAGCAAAAGTTGGGTGGCTAGGTACACGACGATTTGGAAACCTTTCAGAGTACACCCTGACACTCTCTCGAGCATTTCCTTCACAAAATCCTAATGTCAGTAACATATCGGTATATTCTGCATTGGTATATTGTACAGCCATATTAATAAACCACGCATTTGTTTTTTTAATTATTGAGTCAGATAGAACACTTTCAATCGTTAACAAGAGATTAGGTGTTAAAACTGGACAATATTTTTATTTAGATGAAACTATGGAAACCAACAATAAATGTTTTTGTATACGTATTGCAGGCAAATAATTAATATTCCTCAAAAAATCGTACATGGCAAGAATCGAGTATTTTTGTTAAAAGTCTCGATTAGAGGTGTTGAAGAAGATATGAAAAAAGTACATTTTTATGTTTTTCATCGTATAAAATTTTGTCCGATAATAATACATAGGCGTAGAACTTGATTTTTTAAATAATTGCACCTTTAAAAATTCTACGCCAATGGCAAAAAAGGGGTTTGAGTATGAAATTTGGATTGGGTACTCGTTTACTACAAAAAAGTACCCTTGATAATACTCGATTTACTCTCATGGTTTTGACAAAGTTTGTGTTTTAATAATTATTGTTTATGTTCTAAAATTACTAAAATGCAAATTTCGTCAAAACCATGAGAGTAATCGAGTCTTATCAAGAGTACCTTTTTTAAAGTAAATGAGTTGCGCAATCTAAATTTCATGCTCAAACTCCTTTTCTTCCATTGGCGTAGAATTTTTAAAGGTGCAATTATTTAAAAAATCAAGCTCTACGCCTATGTATTATTATCGGACAAAATTTTAATACGATTTTTTTTGCCACATAAAACTCTACCAATATACCA